CTGCCGCATCAGCAGCCGGGTCTCGCCACCGCTGTCTCGGTATCGAACGCCGAAGGCGGGGCGGGGTGGGGACCCTTGCCCGGTCGCGGTGGCTGCAGGTACTTCTGAGCGCTGTGTCCCGCATCACGTTGGCAGGAAAACTTGCCTCACAGGATACACCACCACCGCCTGCGCCCGGTGCCAGCCAGGCCTGTACAGGTGTCTGAATTCTATATCAAATAAGCACATGCAAATTTCTCACAATATTCAGTGCTGGATAGATGTGTGCTGCACTGTCTTACCAGTCCTCAGAGTATGTTAACGACCCTGTGCCACTCTCCCCTCACACATTCAGTGAGCTTCTGACGGAATAGCAACTGCATCTGCAGAGTTCTTGTGAAGTGGGTTAAGACAACGCAGGTGTAGGAGCACAGACTGGATTTAAAGATTGGTGAAGGACAGGAACTATGTTTGAGAATAAATGGCAGGAAAATCACACAAGTTTGCTGAAGATTGGGACTACCACATCAAAGAAAATGTAAGGGCCAAGTCTTTGTAGTCTGTATTGGGAGTGAGTGGGTGGGGGGTGTGTGGATGTGTGTGTGTTTTAAGTATTTTGGAACAAGGGTGGCCACAAGAGTAGCCTGAGAGAGCTAGAAATAAGAAAAAGATTGGAGAAAAGTGGGACTAGCTGAAAGGAAAGTGAACTGGAATCAGATGTTTGAGGAGCAGGGACTGGAACAAATTAGGCAAAAATAATGGTTTTGGAACAGTATGCTTTGGATAGCATAGGGACTAGACTATGATGTGCTGCGAGGAATGCAGAAGAGACAGTATTGGAGGGAGGCAGACAAGGAGAGAACAGTTTGTTTGCCTAGGGCATATTACCTGCAAAAGAGACTGCCTTTATTGAAGGCACTGTTGTCAGTTTGTGTCAGCAAGAGTCCTTGCTGCCACCATACCTTGTGAGTCATGAAAGTGTTTTAGAAATCTACGTATGACAAACATAAGTAGTGGCCATCAATTAAAAGCACAATTTGCCTACTGTGATGCGAGAACCGTCATCAGGCAGAGGTGTGAAATTAAGTTTATCCATAGAGTGGTCAGGCTCTGCATAAAACCTTCTCTTCCTGCAACACACTGGCTTTCTAAACTCTGCAGTAACAGACTAGGTTCTTGCCCTTGTTTCCTATCTGTCCATCTGCATAGTCGATGTGTTTTGGTATTTCCTGGTTCTTGAGTGCTTAACTTTGTAGCTAATACACTAATATAACACTAGTACATTTTAGTGCAAAGCTAATAATCATCTCTCAAAGACAATATCTAATTTTATTAGTTTACATGAGCCTTGTTTCCTTAAACTAGTGTTTTTTTTAATCTTCAAAGCATTGTGGAAAAACATAATCTCATTGCAGGCAGGAGCACACAGAGGTAGTGCAGTCTGGCTGTAAGGAGGGCGATTGTGGCAAGCCTGTACTAAAGATCTCTGCAGGTGAGAATGTCTGCCTGGCAGCTTCCTTGCAGAGCAGAAAGGGAAGTTGTGAGTGCGCTAAGCAGAGAGAGAGAGGGGAAATCCAAACTAAGCTTGGTGATGGCCTGTGAAAGGTTTTGAGCTTCGCAAAAAGGAAATAGCATGTAGTTTTGATATCTAGGCAAATACTAGCACTGTGGTTATTGTACCCAACTAGGCTTTTTTTTTTTTGTTCTAAGTAGGTTTTGAACTCTCGCAAATATGTTTAATGAAGTTTCTGGTTATAGTGAGCTTATCCAGAAACTAGCAGCTGGTATATTAACTCTGAAGAGGTTTTTTTAGAGCTGCATCAGTTTCGTTGCACAAGACTTTGGTAAGGGGAAGTATAGAATAAGACTTGTAAATAATGAGTTAAATGTACTTTATTGTGAGTGTGGCACTGCCCTGGCAGTGGAGATGCAACTGTCACTTCCAAGCTCTCTTTCCAAGCCATGAGGAAAACTGGTCAACAACCTGCTCAGAAAGGCAGGTGTAGGCTTGGTATGTAAGTACAGTGGGGAAACTTTTATTTTTATGTTCTGTCTCAAAGTCATCTGCACCTCAGTAAATAAGAGACCTCAGACTGGCCTTTTAGTACCTGTCATTCAGAAAGATGCTAAAACATGCTCAGCTGCAAGGCTGAGAGGATTTCTTATGCACTGGTTAGAAACTGTTGCAGTGACCTTTTTCAGGGCAGGTGACATCTGTCTTAAGATGACTCTATGACCACTGTAGCATTCAAACCAAGTGCTAAAAGAAATTCCTCAGAAGAAGTATCATATTTGTGAATAAGCAGCTTTGTAGCTAAGAGGAGCTACTGTTCAAAAAATCCCATTCAAACTGAAAAAGGGTATGTTCACATACACTGCTTGGGGAAGGGGGAAGAGCTGTGTAATCTACAGGACAATTAGATACCTATCACTTTTTCTTTCTGGATTAAAAAAAGAGCAGGTAACACCAGAACTGTCTTAACTCGAGGAGGATATTTGGATTACTTAATGCTGCAGAAGATGCAGGTTCCTGGTATAGCAGTCACCTGAAAGGGCAGAAATTAAAAGGCAAACTACTGGGAGGAGAAAAACAGAACAAAAGTAGGGAAAAAACAGTCAATCTAGGACTTAGTGTGAAGTAAGGAAGGAATAGATACAGTACAATGTAAGTTAGAATCAGGCATGCTTATATATAGCTAATGATGGTCAGGCCAGATGCAGAAGACCTCAGGGACCATAGTGTTAGCTGCTCAGGAAGGTGGAAAGCTCTTTCCTTGTTCCTGAGAGGATTAAAAGAAATCATGACCTTTCAATGGAGTGACTGTCCAGTTTATAAAGAAAAGCCCACCTTCATGTGGCTGGTCATCACGTCCTGTAGTGGGTTCAGAGACAGCTGGCTGAATCAGTAGTGGCTGTCTGATAGACTAAAATGACCATGTATTTATTTTGCTTCATTAAAGTTAACAAGAACTAGGTCTGTGTGCCAGAATCGGGGAGATGGATAGATCACCTCAACTTGAGTGCGCGTGTGTTCGCTTGTTTTTTCCTCAGGCTTGTTCACTTTTCCTTCTAGTGAATGCTTCACGGGTCGGCAGATGCCTTTTACGCTGTGTGTTGGATATGAATTTTGAGCTTTCTATTGGGATGTGAACTGATGCATTTAAGTATTGAACATTTGGGAACAAACAGTTACAGCCTCTTTCTAAGGAGGGTATGATCTCAGAGTCATTTCTGGCCTGCACAGATTAGAACCAGGGATCTGGAAGCTGAAATGAGTAGTGCAGCAGTTTGTAATGTAGAGCTGTGGTTTCTGTAGAAGCAAGTTCATTAGCTCAGTTCGGTAGTGTAATTTTAACTGATTTAACAATAGACATGATGTAAATGTAGGTATTTGAAGGTTATCGTGTCTGTTATATGAGATCATTCTGTTGTGTTCTGCTAAGGCTTTTTCTTCCCTAGGGAACTGAGTGAACAATATAGAAATGAAGACAGAAAAGCAGTAGGGCATGCAGTCCTGACTGCTGTACAGAGTAGGATGATTCAGGAGTGTGTAACTTGCCTGTGATGAGTAAAGATGACTACTGCAGGCAGGAAGGGTGAGATCCCTTTCATGTACCACCCCCCCAGCCCAGGCACTGAAGAAAATTAAGTACTGAAGTGCTGCAGGTAGAACATGGTCCTGTTTCCCAGTTACATCATCTCCACTTAATGGCAACAGTTCATCCAGTGTCTTAAGCTTCTTGTAAAGGCCTTTTACAAATTCTGTTTAGGGAAGTGGCTTTTTTTCAGTCTTGCCTTCGCAGTACCCTGGGTGTCTCTGAAGAAGTTCTGTAAGGTAACTAGAGAAACAGGAATTACTAAGGTGTCAGAGCATGACCTGCATAGCCTACAGCCGTAGCAGTGGTTGTAACTAGTACCAAGTGCTAAAGCAGGAAGAAACCCTGCAGTTAGATTGTGTTACTGTATGTTCCCTAAAAAGTGTACCTTCTCATCTCTTTAAGGCACACAATGTGACTTTAATTGTACATCAGGCATGCTTCCATACCTTCAGAAACAAAATGAAACTATTTCTATTGTTTAACACAATCTTCCTGTCGTTAGCCCTGTGCTACAAGTCAGGGTTTAATGCCTCATTTTTTTAAGCTGTTACTTTGTTACTTTGATTAAGAAGCTGAGGAAGTTTCTAGTCTGCCATGGCTCATTACTTTCTACACTTCTATCTGGTATTTAAGGTGAACAGTTACAGTGTTTTCACATAAGTATTTTTTTCTGGCCCCTAGCAGTTCTCATATTGTGGTGCTTGAAATCTGGTCACAGCTTTCCAGCTGCTGCTGTGCAAGAGGTCTGTCATATTTCAGTATTACTATTATTTTTCTCTCATTTTTGTGCACCATTGCTTTCTGTTGTCCTCCTCCCCTCCAAAACCAGGCATAACTGACTAAGGGTCTTCAGTGAACTGTGCATAAAACCATCTGTGTCTCCTTGCAAAAACAGTTAATTTAAAGCCTAGTAATTTGTATTAATAACTCATAGTATTCACTCTAAACATGTATTGTTTTGCAGTCAAAACCACAGTCTTTGTTGGGTTTGTCTTACCACTCATTCACAAAACATGGCTAAATTTCCTGAAATGCTGCAGTCTGGAATAACCTGGATGCACCACCTACGCGTTTTCTACTTCCATTTTAAAAATATATTTATACACACCCCAGGTGGAAATATGAATCCCTTCAAAAATCTTAATAAAATCAATTTATATAATTGTAGCAGGTTTTGGATTGGGTTTTTTTTTGAGCATTGCTTGTCTGGTTAATGTTGAAGTAGCAAAAAGTCACGAATATCCTGTCATTACCAGAAGGAAGGAAAAAAATCCCAACAAAACAGTGTTAATAGTGTGTTATTAGCACAAGGAAAGAAATTAGCTTAGGCTGACACTCTTTTTAAAACTTTTTTTTTAGCGTGGCTGAGTTACCAGTTGCCTAGGAAATAAGCAGACAAATGTCTTGACTTTCACTCATGTAAACGTAAGATGTTGCAGAATCTTGTGGATTAAATGATGCAAAACTCTATGGTATTTAAGGAGATATCCAGAGTATCATGCTTTGAAAGTAAGAGGGGTATGCCTGCTGTGATTAATAGAAAATTTCATTTAAAAGTACCTGCTTATGATGTTGATGCTTTGTCTTGAGTGTTTTGAAGGCTAGCATAGTGTGTTGGCTCTTTAATTGGAAAATTGTCCTACTCTTGTGCAGTGAGAGTTGGTCTTGACATGGGAAGCAAGGTGTTAAAAACTGCTTTTAAAATTCAAGCTTTTAACATGGCCTACAATGGCAGTGTGTAGCAGGAGGAAGTGAGCTTGTTCTGGCTTCTGAATGGGCCCAAAGCTGCACAGTCACACGGGCGAAAGGTTGTGCCTAAACTAATACAACAGCAGAGAGGTGTTTTCATGGGAATACACGTTAATCCCTGCTCATTTTAGTCTCAGATTCACTAATCTAGTCACACTATGAATGAATTCCAGATAAGATATATCCTGCTTATCAGGTGTGTTGGTCTCAGGGCTAGGGATCTGCGTTATCATTGTCCCCTGGTTTCTGATTGACTTAAGAACAGGCGGAGCAAAGCTTTCTCGCTCAGAGCTGTAGGGAGTGTACCAGGTTGGTGCACGTCTGAGCTTGTGAGGTGTTTTGGGGCTGAGCTGGAATGGTAGTACAATGGAAAACTTACAGAATATCATCCTTATGCTTGAATTGCTACTGGTACAGTGCAGCAGTGTTGCCAGTAGTAAGAGGCAAACCCCTGCCTTAGCTCACTGCATCTCAATCTTTGCCACCAAGCACAAAACCCGTGAAGCAGAATCTCTGTGTGATATATTTTGTGTATGGTAGGACACTCTTCTCTGAACTGCCTTTAGTATATATTGCCCTTGAATTAATATTATATTTAAGCAATGTCCTTAAAATTATTCCCCAGTTTAAAATATAAATTATTACTTTTTTCAGGAAATCCAGTAGAGGAGACTTCGTATTTTCTGCCGATCGTCTGGTAGGTGAAGAATTTCTCCTTCTTGGTATCGTACTTTGTAACTCTTCTATAAGATGGGTCTTTCAGGACAGAATAATGGTGGTGTGCGAGCAACTTTTCTACACAAAGGAAATGATGCTTGACAGCAACTTTCTATATAGGGACTTATGTTCTCTACTATGGACTGCTTTTATCTCAAAGGGTTCCAGAAGGCATGTTATTATCAAACACAACTACTTCAGGACAGAGAGCAGTAGTAAGAAGAGAATACTGTTTAAAAACAGATGCACAGAGGCTAGAGATAATTCAGTTTTAATTTGAAACACTACTTTTGATCTTGCGACCAGAGCTGTACAATTTCTTCCAGTCTGGATGTTACCAATCGCTTGCATGCAGGAGTGCCTCCTGGCACATGTTGTGTATTAGATTAGTCGCTCTGGGTGCATCCATACGGGGAATTTGTTTTTGGCCATATGGTAGTTGCTAGCAGGGACAAAGCAGTTTCAAGTTTTCACACATTTTAGTAAGTCAGAACAAAGACTGCTGGGAATGCAACCTTTACCTCATCTAAATTACATGCTTAGAGAAAACCACAGCACGCCCACACGTATACTTCCTTGTATTCATGAGGGTGTTTGCTGTTTGCAAATCCATGTTCGTTAACAAGGAAAGTCTTTTCTTTCCCCCTCTAGCAGATGAGGCCAGAGACCATTCAATTAGACCATTTGCTACAGCAGGCAGGTTTCCTGTGATGAGTCCAATCTTAATCCATGCCTGATCCAGGCTTGCTCAGGGCTTTAGATATGACTGCAACCTAAGATTGTGACTGCAGTGGTTTTTGTTTTGCAACTTTTTCACTTTCCCCTCTGCTTTTTCCTTCTTGAGGATGTTTCCTGCATTCACCAAGAGCAGTAAAGGCCCAAGCCAACAAGTCCCATCACTCATAATGTGTAGATCAAGTGACTGACTGGAGTGCCTTCTTTGCCAGGAGTACTTCATAAGGGACAGGCAGAAACTCGCAGCCCCAGCTTGGTTCTGTGCCAGCATTTCTCAGCAGATACCATTTAAATAGACACGTGTCCTTTACAGTTCATGGGACGAGTGGGAACAGCCCAGGAAACATCCAGCACCCATGAAAGACTAGCTCAGTTATGTGTCATTCTTCCTGGGTTTTGTGGTTTCAGGTTCTTCATGAGATTCAGGAAGCCAGTGAAGGCCAACACCAGCAATCCCACACATTTATAGGGTACAGGTCTCCAGTGCAGGGGTCAGGCCCCTTCCCCACTAGTACTCCTTTCACAGGAAGGGTTTTGGTTAACATTCTTACTTTACCTTGTATTAGGTTCCCATCATGCTGTACCCTTTAAGGAGCATTCATTCCTGCCAACCTCTTTGAATTAAAGAGAAGCACTATATTGCTAATATGTATTTTTTAAAAAGATATAAACAATGACTATTCTAATACTGACAGGAAAACCGTTAACAGTCTTGACTGTACCTTATTGTCATTAGTTAGTGTGAAGGATCTGTCCCATGTACCTTCTCACTTCACTGGAAGGTCCTGCGCCATTCTGAGGGAAGCAGTGATTTTTTTCCCCCTCGTTGATAGAAACTGCAGCTTCCGGGCAGTGAGATAAGTTCAGGCATTTGTACCAGTATCTCCTATGGGCTGCCCAGCACTTGTACAGATAGGGAGCTGGTCTTCACAGAAACACCTGTTTGCTGATCATGCAGTTGTTTGAACCTACAGAACCTACCAGTCTGTTTTCCGTTTTGTAGGAGGAATTTTATGCAAAACAATATGTAGGAATATCTCATTTTCTGTATGCTATTCCTAGGTGTGACAAAGAACAGTTACAGTTTCATGTGGAACGTGGTCTTTACTAAACTCGGTGGGGCACAAACATAGTTAAGACTTGTTATATTTTCCACCCAGTTAGCAAAGAGGAGCTTAATGGCAAGATGCAATACATGAAAAGAAGAAACATATGATATGCATGGGATTGTAGGGTAACAAAATAGATCTTGTTGCAGAGAGGAAATGAGCATGAGGTTAAGCTTGCTCCCAGCTTGGCAGCTGTTAGTGGCAGTATCTCATAAGGGCACCGTAGGAAGAGGTCTTAAGGAGGGACACACTGAAGCGGATTAATTTCTGGTGGTATGTTTTTTTCTTCTGGCAATTTGTCTCATATGTAAGGGGATGACACAAAAGAAATGCTCAAAGATACTTGTGAGAGAAGGGAGTTAACAGGCAGTAAAGGTTAGCAGAGTTTCTGAAAGCCACTGCCAGTGCTGTGATCCAGAAGTTGAAAGATGTACCATGGCTGGTTTCCTTATTTAGTGATTACACCTATTCTAAATGGGAGTGCTGTCAGCCTGCTTTCTGTAGTTTACTGTATCCAGGTTTCTCTGTTCATGGACTCTGAGGAACTGCTCAAACCTGATTTCTTCAGTGGTATTGGAATGTGGTGATGAGACTTTATTCATGTGCTTAATTGGTTGAGCAAAGGTAGATTTCACTAACATTTTCATATCCTTGAAATGTTTATGTGGTAGTTCGCTAAAACTCCTTGGACCTCTATTAACTGTTGGTTTTGCTAACAGTTCTAACAGATCTTGTACTAATGGAGGTTCAAAGCAAACAAAGATCTTGTACTAAAGGAGGTTCAAAGCTCTTTGCTGACTGCAGAGCTTCTGGGGTAAATCTTAAATGTAGAACTATAATAAGTGAGCACACTGACATATAATTTTGTATATAAGCATTAAATGCTTAATCTAAAACTCCAGTATAACTGTAAGCCTTGACAGTTTAACTAGGCCTGCTAGAATTTAACAGCCCTTTTAGCTTTTTTTTTTCACCAATTAAAAATGGACTTTTTGTTATTGGTAACTTCAATTCATGGTTTTCTGGTCAAACTCTTCTACCTTGTGATCAAAGCTTTATTTCCCTGCTTTGTGTGGGGCCATAATACCTGTTTTAGCTTCCAAGTGATGGTAACCAGCTCTCAGGGAGAGGAGCAGGCCTGCTGGTTCTCAGAGCCAGAGAAAAGAGGTGGAAATTATAATCCCAGAGCATGGAGGCAGCAGGAAGCATAGTGCAAAATTAAATGTTTGATGAACACTGACAGGTTTACAGAAGAATCCTTCCCAGCCTCTGCATAAAACACTGATACATGTAGTAAAACCAAGGAAATTATTTGACTATAGACCTTCACTGGTTTACTGTAAACTTTTGGCAGATTATGTGGAGCAATGGTAACCCTGCCAACATGACAGCAGTATGAAAAAAAAGCGTTTCTTCCAAACCTGGCTCACAGGTTGGATTTTTTGTGAAATAACTTAAAAAAAAAAAAAAAATTAAACTGAGTACAAATGTCCCAGAAACCTAAAATTAAATCAAGGATTTCTTGGCTTGTTTATGTGAGAAGATGTGTCTTTCAGTAGAAGAACACTGGTGTCTTCAGTCTCAGGATTAAAGTGACTTGAGTAAAAAGACTAGTCAAAAACTCTACTTACAGAGAGACAGGAGGAAGAGGAGGAGGAGGAGGAAGGTAATAGAGCTGGCTTCTGTGCATATGCTTCCTAGAGTCACCAAATATGCAATTTGTTGAGCAGAAAGGGGACTGACAATTCTGAAGGATGGTTCCCATATGCAGTTTTGCTACAGTGGAAATATTATCCTATTAATTTCTTTTTCAGTCGCTTCTCCCATTATATATCCATTGCACCCTTTGACCCCTTCACTAATTCAGTCTGACCACCACCCCTGAATATGGCTGCCACAGACCCAACTCTAGGAAAAACCTGTCATAATAAAATGACTAGTTCAAAGAGAGTTTGTAAATTTACGGGACTGTTTCCATTTCCTAGCAGAGGCTGCCTGTGTGCCAGGAACTAGGGCAGAATGGAAGGACAGAAAAATCTTCCAGTATGCTCTGCCCTCTTTCCAAAATAAGAAATGTCTGAAGTGAGCATTATACTTGCTCAGTCTCAGGAGCAATCACCTCATTTCTGCCATCATCTGGTGACTTTTGCTTAACAGGTTTCATCTTTGGCTTGGCAGTAGCTTTCCTTGAGCAGTTCTGGCCTGTGAATCTTCGTCTCAGTAGCAGAGAGAATTTTGACATCTTTAATACCCAGAGCATCTCTCTTTGGCAGTCATTCTAGGTTCAGATGAACGTGTTTGGGTAACTTTGCCTGGGATACAGCTGCAGGGCCAGGACTAGGAGAGAGCTGGAGTTTTTCTGGCCACTTGAAGCTGGAGGGGTGCATGGCTTACTCGCTGCACCTCCAATAGAGATGTCCCTGCTGAACTGGGCCGTCTGTGCCATGGGAAAGCACAGGTGCTTGGCAGAGCGTCCTGTAGTAGCCACAGCTGGCAGGTGCCAGAAGAAGAAGGTGATAAAGAGATTTCTAGATCTGCTGACTTGTCTTTGGGCACTCGCTGGTGCATATACATTGCTGCAGCTTCTGTGGCTGTTCTGGCAGCCTGACTGCAGTTTAGTCATAGAAATATGGATGTGACAATAAGCCACAGAGCCTAGCTGATGGGAACTGAGAGATGGTGATTTTTCCCTTTTTCTCACTAGTATTTTCTGTCAGCAAAATGAAGATGCATTGGTGCTTCACTCATTTTTTCAGAAAAAATTGTGATGTCTATACCTGCCAGACACAAATAAAGTCAGTTTTATGATTGCCAGTGAATCCCCCCCTCCCTCCAAATTTGTTTTGTAATGCCTCCATTTGATTTGTGGACAAAACATAGGCATCACCCCCAAAAGGTCTCTAAATTCAGTACCTAACAACTACTAAAGAGACCCCTTAGACCCTTCAGGCTGTTAGGTGTTCACCTAGTACTTGTAAAAACTACTGACATCTAGTATCTTATCTCCATAGATAACAAATCCCTTTAAGCTGACAGATCTCCTTCGTTCTACAGATCAGACTTGTGGTTGAAGAGGGACTGAATCAACTGCCATACACAGAATGTACCGTGACCACTCCAACAGGTATGTGGGAAATTACTCCTCCCCTAGGTAGGACTGGAAGTGAAAGCTTAACTACCACAAAAATCATGGAACTGTTACAAGAATCATAGAATGTGTAGAATTGGAAGGGACCTGTAAGGACTGTCAAGCTCCCCACTCCTTGCAGGACTGCCTAAAACTGAATCACCTGATAAGAGCATCATCCAGATGCTCCGTGAACTCCAGCAGGCTTGGTGCCAAGACCACTTCTCTGGGGAGCCTGATGCTGGAACAGTTTAACATTCAGGGTAGAGTACAGAGTTAAGGTTCCTTCTGATTTTGAAAAAGCTAGATGGTGCATAATGACACAATTGAGCAAAACATACAGTCATAAAGTTGTCATTTTACTGAGGTTTTAAATTGGCCTTGCAAAACCATGATGAAGGTTTACATGTGTATGTGCAAGATCAGTTTACTTGCCCATACTGCAATGTTGAGATAAAACTGATGACATTTCATATGCCCATTAAAGAAAAAGTACTTGGCTCAAGCAGTTTTGCCATGCCACCTCTCTTTGCAACTGAGGGCCAGCTGAGAGTAAATAAAGCAGGAAATAAAAAGTGGCTGTCGACACTAGAGAAAACCCATTGCAGTAATTTTGGTTTGCTCCTGTTAACTGTAACTATACATAAGGTCACACGTATTACTCAGAGTCACTACTTAGTGCATCAGCAACTTCTTACAAACCCACAGCACACCCATAAGACATACACCAGGCAAGTCCTCTGCCCCCTGAGAATTCCATTTGCATTTCTGCAGGGTGAGAGCAGCTTTGTACATTCACACCTTCTTCCTCTTTGCCCTTCTCAGTAAATCATTTGTACATCTTTACTTTTACTTAGAGAAAAGATGTACTGAAAACACTTAATTCTGAAACTAGACAGGGTTTAGAAAGGCACTCAGGAGGCACAATTGCTTACCTTTGATCCTCTTCAAAAAAACAGCAGGTGCTTCACTTCTTGAGCATTGGCATCACATCTGTTGCTGGTCAGTCAGTGATGGATAGATTGATGACCATCTACTCGCTGCATTACACAGTTTAACTGGCAGGTCCCCTGCAAGTAACATCACTTGGAAGCTCTACAGTGCTTTTTGAGTGGACCACTGCCCTGGCCATGGGCCAAGACTCTCGGACTTTGCCCTCTGAGCACACATTGCCTTGGTGAAAAAACTTAAGAGTTCCTGCCCCTGCTCCCAGCCACGCTGTGGGTAGTCTTATTGTCTGAACCCATCTTAGCTCTGCAGGCAGGGTGGTTGCCCCTTCACACCAATACCTGTGCCCAGTGAAGGAGCTAAGATGGCCTCAGGCGAGCCCTTCCAGTAGGAAGTGTCCCTTGAGAACTCGGATGCCTCTGCATGAATTTCCGCTTACCTATACTCAGCTCTTCCCCTCTAAGCATTTGTAAGAATCCAAAGCAGAGCTGATTTCTGCTTTTCCAAGCTCAGAAACAGAACACCCCTCAAGGACATCAGTAGAACACCCTATTTTTTTCTCCTTTAAGGGCCTTGGGACTTTTTTCAGTCAGGCAGGGGACTATGTGACACCTGTAAGGAACCACATGTTCCTCCCAGCAGTGGTGCTGGGCAAGCTCACTACCAGCTTCTGGGGTTAGATCTGAAGAATGATGACTGTGACAATCTTGCTTTGCTGTCTTTATTTTTGAAATAATAAGAGACCTGAACTCACAGTACTGATGATTGTTATCTCATCTCTCATATGCATACCATTGCCCACTTTTTTTCTTTCAGTGATTAAGGGCACAATGACTGTAGCATTGTAGCATCATATTTCAGTTCCAACTCTTGTCACCTGCAGCACTGGGCTGCATTTACCTGACTTCTTAGGGGGCATACGGTCTATCTTTATTTTGCATAACATCTTTTATTTAAAATAATCACAGAATACCTGAATTATAAAACACATACTTGGAAAGAATCACTTCTGTGCCAATTTGCTGACATGACTTTTAAAGTTTAAAAAAGCACAAGTTCTTTTCCAGTTATGGTTTTGGCCCCATTACCGTGGCTTGTTGGAGGGCCACAGGGTACAGTGTGCAGGTGGGTTCATGCCACCTGCTGAGAGACGGGAACCTGCTGTTGTCCCCTGGGTATTCAGGGGAATCTCGGCTCCACTCACACTAAGGTCACTTAAGACAGCATCCCCCAAAGGGGCATTAAGATGGGGCAGAAGGGAGCAACCGCTGCCACTGACATCTGGTTTCTTTCCTCTCA